TATAATTTTCCCTCTTTAGCGGACTAGTGCATTGATGGTCTCCCACTTGTTCCGATTGTCAACGGTTGTGGGTTGAACGTTTGTCGTTCAATGGGTTAATATGAAATTTCTAGACCATAACGAATAAACAAATACAATATTATTACTCGATTTTTTCAGCTCCTGATCCTATTGATCGTGATATAGCTACCACAAGTGATGAAGAATCTCCTTCCGAGTCATCTTATTCAAGTGATAAAACTAGTGACATTGATGTTTTTGAAACTGAAAATAGCACAGAGAATGAAATCGGAGTAGGAAATTTGTATGAAGAACGCAACCTCCCCCATACATGTGATGAGGAGGACCTCAGGTGTATTAGGCCCAAAGGAAGAGCAGTTCCTCAGCGAGTAGTGATGATAACGAGTATGAGGCAGAATCGGACGATGATACTAGCAGTATTTGGTCTCTTGATTCTGAAACCATGTTCAGTTTTAATACAGACGCAGTTGATGGTAACCGAATAATGTTTACCGCATCTCAATTAACAGTCTCAGATATTTTACTAATGATAACGACTCTCTGTGCAAAGAGAGAACTTAACAAAGAAGTTCAGAAAGAATTGGTGGAATTGATGAAGGTTGCTGCTGGACCCGATTTTGAATCCTGGAACGCCTCCACTTACTATCTAGATCAAATCTATAATCCTCCACGTGACAAAATGACCACTCATTATTTATACGATGCCTGTGGTGGGGTAGCCGTATCGATCAATTTGAGTGAAAAACTCACTAAGGAGATGACGGTGACGTGCGCAGAATGTCAACAGGAGAAAATCATCAATCGAAACACTCCCGATCAATTTATGTCAATCGATGTAGAATACCAGTTTAAGCTGCTTTTGAATGACGAGGACATACAAGAGGATATCATCAAAACTTCTGAAAGTTTGAAAGAGAGGCCTGACGATGGGATCATACGAGATGTATTTGACAGTGACTTGTACAAGAATATCCAGAAACATCATCCTGGAACGTTAACATTCAACCTAAGCACTGACGGAGCTCCACTTTCTAAGAGTGGTTCACAAGGATTCTGGCCTATTCAATTACACATAAATGAAATGTCTGCGAAAAACCGATTCAAAAATATCGTATTGGGTGGCTTCTTCCTCACTGGTCATGAACCAAATCCAAAATTCATGATTGTCTATTTTTCGGTATTCCTGAAACAAGTTGAACATTTAATGAATGATGGAATCACATTTACTCGTCATTTGACAGGCGATGACTACACATTTAAGTTTCATCCCTTGCTGATCCCAATGGATTCCGTGGCCCGACCCGTAGCTCAACATCGGCACCCATTTATCGCGTACTCGGGATGCTCATGGTGTTATGATTACGGTGTCTACATAGGTCATGCCGTCAGGCACGTGATGTCGAATGAACGTCCTGTTATTCGAACACATGAATCCCACTTGGAAGACATCAAAGCTGCCCAGAAAACGGGACTAATTGTCAATGGGGTGAAAGGACCAACGGCCTTCTCTCGTGTGAAAGATTTGGATCTCGTTTGGTCCTTTCCCCCCGACTACATGCATGGCATATTATTAGGTGTGGTCCAATCATTGTGGACGATATGGAACAAACAACGATGTCTGACTGCAGCTGATCGTCGAGAGATTGAAAAACGATACATGCAAATTAGAAGAACGCAAGAGATTCATCGTTTACCACGTACAATGAAGGATATCGCAAAATGGAAAGCCACAGAGTTCAAGTCGTGGTTACTGTATGACAGTATCCCATGTTTGGAAGGAATTCTCAACGCCGACCGATTCCGATCATATTGCTTACTCGTCGACTCTATTGCTACTTGTCTGAAAACCGAAATCACAAAAACGGATACTCAGCGGTGTGACATCCAATTATTACAGTTCTTTGCTGGAACTCAAAAGTTCTTCGGACCTGAGTTAATTACCTCCAATTTTCATTCTCTACTACACATAGGAGAGGCAGTGACTCGATGTGGCCCCTTATGGTGTTATTCGACTTTTCCGTTCGAAAACGGCATTTTTTACTTTAAACGCCACGTATCCTCTCCAGCCTATCGTGCGTTTCAAATGGCTAATAAACACCTGAAAAACAAGGTGCTCAAGTCGAATATTGAGCGTAATACAAAATCAGAAGTATGTCGCGATTTCTGTTTGAAATTGTGGAAGCCAAAACAACTGGAGACTTGTAAACGAACTGAAAACGATATGATTCTCATAGGGGCTGGGCAAGATAGTAAGAAGGTCTCTGCATTATTGGCCGAATACCTAAATTGCTCGGCAATTCCTGTAACCCTGTATCAAAGATGTATTTTCGGAGGTATGATTCTACGGAGTATCGATTACACCCGCCCAAAGAAAACTGATGACACTGTTGTAAAACTGAAGAATCATAAGTTTATTCAAATTCACAATTTCATTCGGACTGTTGGTAAAGGTTATGTTCATGGGCGAGAAATATCCGCAACGCTTTATGAATTCGACGGAGTCACAATCAATCACCTGTACAGAGTGGCGAGTTGCAACGGTCCAGAGCTAATCGTCGAACCTGAAGATATTGAAACGAAGGTCATATATTTCACAATAGATGATAAAACATATATCGCCTGTCTGCCTAATAATATCGAGATTCAGTGATCAGAGAAAACACCATTATCATGCGAAACATCCTTGAACCGTACCTCACATATCGACGCCTATCCTAAGTACGTGAGATTTCGGTCTGGACTTTTTCTGGGGAACTCACTTGTTGCATGCGCAAATTGCAACCGACACTTGGAGACATTAATTTCCGCTATTGGTTGCGCCTCTGCTTTTATAATTCGATTATAAAAGTCTCTATTGCTGCTTAACCTGCAGATTCTTCCTGCACTTTTCGCTTGGCTGTCTCTCTCATTCGCAGTTTTGCCGTCTACCCCTGGTGAGTGATTTTATAACTTGACGCACTGTGGAAGTTGCCTGCTTTGCTAGCAGCTCCATCGCTGCCCTCGTTACCGACGGTCGCCCACTTATCAGCTACATCTGCCCTCTACTCGCCTTTTTTTTTCGGCCGACAAAATGGCGGATGCTGAGAAGGTGCCCTGTAGCAAATGTGGAAAAGGCGGAGCTGCGAAGTTATATCACTGTCGCGCCTGCGGCAACCACTTTCATGCAATTTGTATGAAAACGCTGATTGTGGTGAATGAAAACGGATCGAAAATACGCATGTGTCAGCCATGCTATTCCTCCCGAGGCATCTCATTTCCAGCCCCTGGCATGCGGACACGTCATGGATCCGCCAGCTCCACTGGCTCAAATTCGTCGTCACGATCAGGCACTGCTAGCCCCTCGTTAACTACTCGCTCTCTGAAGGTGCAGACCCCCCCTCCAGCTCCGCTAGTTCTAGCCCCTACACTCCAGCGAGTCATGCAGACGGAGTCTTCATCTCAGCCAGTCTTGCAGCCAGAGCCTACTCTCGCCGACCTTATGGAAGCAATAGGAGTAGTTGCTGAGCGCACTGAGCGCCTTGACACCCTCTCCCTCCAACTAGACAGCGTCCAAACTGAGCTTGCTGATGTCAAGACGAAGCTCTCAGCCTTGGACCAACTACCAGCACTGACCAAGCGCGTGGACGACATTGGAACTGTCGTAGCTGAACAACGTGAGGAGATTCGAGACCTACGGAAGTCTGTAGCTGATCTTGCTACCAAAATCAGTGCACCATCAGCTCATGCCGCTGAATTCTCATCATTTGATGCTGCTACTTTACAGCGTGTCGTTGCTGCTGTCAACTCCAGCTCAGCTAGTCTTCAACGGCTCTCGGGGCAACAGCAGGCTTCTAATGAACTGATCATTTCTGGTTTTCCCGAAAGTGAAGTTCTTACTGATCCTCTCCCTCTGGCTCTAGCTGTTCTGCGCTCTCTGAAACATGTTCTCGACCCATCAACTATATCGAACGCTCGCTTCATGAGGAAGCCAGCGAGTCACCCTCGACCTGTTGCTGCCGCCTCTACTAGTAACATCACCCAGGAAACTGTGAACTTGCATCGCTTCCGAGTGTCCATTGGCCTAAAACTGGCCTCTCCTGGATTACTCCGAGTCATCATCGATGCAAAGAGGTCTAAAGGCAAACTGCTGTTCTCTACTGTTGATTGCTATACACTAGCAGCTTCATCCACTCCTGTCAGTGAGAATGGTGTTGATTTCCAAATTAACGTCAATGAGCTGTTACCATCGAAGACCTACAAACTTGTGGGTAAAGCCAGGTCTGTTTTGAAGCAATCTGGTTTCAGGTTTATCCGGGCCAAACACGAAGCTGTTTTTACTAAATTCAGAGAGGGTGACCTGGTCTATACCAATTCCCATGCGGACATTGATAGAATCGCCAGTCTTCACCCTGTTCACTCTTCCTGATTACCAGACTTCTCTGCACCCACGACTCTTCAGCGATCGGCTACGAATCTGGATCCTGTTTCCCTCACGTCGCAATCTCCATCACTGTCTACCTTGCGTACTTTGCTGCCTAGTATCTCTTCTATCGGAGAATTTCGTGCCTGCTGCCTCAATGTAAATTCCCTTCGCCGGCGGCTGGATACCATCAAAAGCTTCCTCGACTCTCATTCCTCAGCCCTATAATCTCATCTGATGTCATGTCATTGTTGTCACTGAATCCTGGCTGTCTCCTGCAATTCCAAGCTCTATCCTGAATATACCAAAATACAATCTCCTGAGATGTGATCGCAATGAGCATGGCGGTGGAGTAGCAATCTATCATCATGATTCGGTAAAAGCCTCGGTCATTTCTACCTCTAACACTGTCTGGACTGGTCAACCTGGGAATATTGAGTATATCTTCTGCGCAATCCAACCTCCAAGCACCTCGCCGATATTCGTTGCTGCCATCTATCGACCACCTCATGCTCCTTTTCACGTGCCCATCCACTTTACTGAACTTCTGTCAACTGCCATGGATGGTTTCAGTCATAAGATGATTATGGGCGACTTCAACGCTGACCAGCTGTCTCAGCGAGCTGATGCTCTATATGTTCGCACTCTAATGAGTGATCTCTCACTGAAGTTGGTGAATCATGGCGTCACTCATACTACTCTTACCTCGTCAACATGGCTTGATCTCTGCTTCACTGATGAGTGTGACACAATCACTGACTGGTACACTTCTGAACGTCCCATGGCTGCGGGACATCATCTCATCTCAACATCGATAGCCGTTCGTGGATGTAATCCCCGTGCTACTACTATCTTGTCTCGCCAATTATCTCGTCTCCAAAAAGATAACGTGGTTGAGAACTTCCAGAGGACGCTCCATAACATAGATAGGCAGGCTGACACTAATGGTCAGGCTGTGGCTTTCACTAGCACCTTCCTGTCGCTAGTTGATGCTCATGCTCCCTTGTGCCAGATGCAAGTGAACTCTACCAAGACTGCCGCCTGGCTCACTGTTGACCTGCGGCTGTCCGACCAACATGTGACACACTTGTACAGACGTTTCAAACGCAGGCGTACTCATCAGCGGCTGCTTGAATTTCGTCTGGTCCGAAGCCTTCATCAGTCAAAACTCATGGAGGCGCGCATCAATTATTATCACTCTCGAATGTCTGGGTTATCGGGTGCGGCTTTATGGAGAGAGTTACGCAATCTTGCATTGACAGCTGGCTCGAGCACTAGCCCTATAATCTCATCTGATGTCTTGAATGCGCATTTTGCTACTGTCTCAACGGTATTACCTGAGGATCAGCCCGAGCTTATATTGGACCGTTCTTGTGAATCCTCCAGACCCTCTTTCTCCTTCTCGCAGGTGAGTTGGCTCAGCATTCAGACAGCCATCTCCTCTATCAAATCCAATGCAGTTGGTGCTGACGGCATATCCACAAAGATGGTCATGAATTTATTGCCGGCCTTGGCTGACAGTCTTCTCACTCTCATGAATCAGTCCTTTGAGGATTGTGTTTTCCCATCTATTTGGAGGCAAGCCATCATCGTTCCAGTGTGCAAAGTGGCCTCACCAAGATCTCCAGCAGATTATCGGCCGAATGCCCTTCTTCCTTTCCTTGCGAAAGTACAGGAACGACTGGCCTTCAATCAGCTATCTAGATATCTTCAAGCTCACAACATGCTTGATCCTCGTCAATGTGGATTCAGGGTGGGTCACATCACGCAGACAGCTTTACTTAGATTGGTGAATGATGCGAGACGGAGCGTTGATGATCGTAAAGTGACAGTCCTAGTCCTCTTTGACTTCTCCAATGCATTTGACACAGTCTCGCGTCCGCTGCTCCTAGCTAAGTTGGCTAGTATTGGTCTTTCAGCTAGCGCTATGGCATGGTTTCGTTCATACCTTGGTTGGTCGCTCCCAGGCTGTCAAAGATGAGAATGGACTCTCCACGTTCCTGAGTACCAATGTTGGGGTGCCTCAAGGATCTATCCTCGGTCCTCTCCTATTTTCTGTCTTCATCAATGACAGACAAATGAAATTCATCTTTTAGTCGTCCTTCAACGCTGACATCGCCCGGGTTCAGGTGTGGGCAGCTGCAAATCGTCTTCAGCTGAATGTCAACAAGACCAAGGCAATCATCCTGGGTGCTAGACGCTTCATCAATGCCATCGATGTCGACGTCATGCTGCCTCTTGGTACTGATGGCGCTGCCATCGAGCTTGTGTGCTGCGTTAGAAACCTCGGGGTTTTCATCGACAGCAAATTAACGTTCAGTGCTTACATCCAACACGTTGCCTCCAAAATCAACTACGCTTTCTATCAGCTCTACAGCTTACGGCACTACACTGATGTCCCCTTGAGAAAGCTGTTGGTTAACGCCCTCATTTTCCCTCACATCTTCTACTGCCTGGCAGTACTCCAGGGCATGGGCTCAGTACTTGATCTCCTACTACAACGGATGATAAACCGCGCTGTGCGGTTCGTGACAGGACTGCCTCGTGATGCTCCTATCTCGGCGGTGAGACGGAGTCTGGGATGGCTCACAATTTCTGGGTACCGCACAGCCACTATTGCCTCCATCATGTACCAGGTCCAGAATTCTTCTAGTCCTTCCTACCTTACAGAACTCTTCGCCTCTTACACATCCAGCAGGCCCCTCCGTCAGGTGCTAGCGCAACAGGCGTTGGTTGTTCCGAATTATCGCACCGACACATATCGAGCTGCTCTGGCCGTAGCCGCCCCAGAGGTCTGGAATAGTATCCCTGTGCTTATCAGGGAGCAACCTTCGTCTACTGCCTTCAAGCTCCAGTTGCGACGCTGGTTACTGGATCAAGAAGGGCCGGGTTGAATCTTCTGCTCAAAATCCAGTGCAGCTTCAGCTTAGCTTAATCTCTTATATTTCAATATCGAAATTTTCTACCTCTGTCCAATTTATGTTACACCATGCCAACTTATCGCATATCTATATGAATTCATGATTATGTTTACCTCTTAGCTATAGATTCCCCGCACTGAAATCAGTTCAATTGTACTCACATTATTATTTTGGCCTCTGCTGTTATTGCTGTTCTCTCTTGTCTTTTTGTATAATACTCTCAACCTGTCTTAATGCTCTGTAAATCTTTGTTTAAATTCCTAAACAATAAACATCATATCTATCTATCTATCTATTTATCTATCCTGCCAACTGGAACGACGCTGCTCGGACTGATTTTTGTTACTTGTACCAATCTATCACCCAAAAATCAAGCCTTTTCTAGTGACATACCGCACATAAATAACTGAATAGAATCTGAAATAACTTTAGTTATAATACAAGTGTTTTTAGTGCCAATGTTTAATGGAGAGAATCAAGTGAAAAAAGTTATTATTTGAAGAGATTTATAGAATTATTGGCATGCAAAGTAATGGTTGAAACGAAGTGAAGCATTCTGTTAATGGAGAGCAGCTGATGATTTTTGCAGCCATGGTAACGATTGTCCAACAATTTTCTTCAAGATTAGATGATACCTATCGAATCTCATTCTAAACATTTTCGTACATCGTATAGTCTCTAAAAACTTATTCCAATTTGAAATTAACGATGAAAAAGAAAATTTGCTTCCTGTTACACGAGGGGTTAATCATTTATGAAATCTGGTGTGCAGATGGGATTAAAATCTTATGAAATCCTATGAAATCTTGAAATCCCGTGAAATTCTGTGAAATTCCATGAAATCTCGTGAAATTTCATGAAATCCCATGGAATTTTCAGCAGAAATTCATGAATGCCGTAAAATCTTTCAAAATACTATTCCGAATTCATAAAGATTGGGTGAAGTGGGGGTAACTCAACGCAAAAATTTGGTGATTTTGTCACCAAATCTGATAATTTGAGAGGGCGAAATTCTCCGCTGGTCTGCCGGTAACAAATCAAGTGATTTCAAAATTTTGATTAGTGACTGCTAGACAAAATGAAATGAGGATAAAATTTTCATGAGAGTGGAACCTGACAAAGGGACGATTGAATTTCACGGGAGTCAAACGGCGCAAGGGTCATACGGGGATGATCAAATCCCATGAGGGTCAAACATCACGAGGGTCGCAAGGGGATGGCAAAATTTTACGGAAGTGAAACGTCGCAATGGTCGCAAGGGCATGATCAAATTTCCCAAGAGTCAAACGACGCAAGAGTCACAAGAGAATGGTGAAATTTTCACGAGGATCCCAAGGGGGTGGTCAAATTTTACGCGGGTCAAATGTCACGAGGCTTTGCCACAATGGTCACATGGGGACGATCAAATTTCGAATAATTAATTCTGAGATGGTTCCATTTGATTTTCAAGGTTTGTTTAAGCGTCGTATTCCATCGTGACTTTCGTGACCCTCGCGATGTTTGACCCCGTGAAATTGAACCATCCCCTTGTGACCCTCATGTCATTTGACTGTCGTGGATTTAATCGTCCGGTGGTGATCCTCACGACGTTTGACTCTCATGAAATTTGGACGACTCCTTGTGACCGTCGTGGAGTTTGACTCTCGTGAAATTTGATCATCCTCTTGAGACTGTTTTGTTCCTTCCGATTATGTGATGAGCCGATCTCCCCAGTAGGAACACAGAATATAAATGTAAGAATCGTGATTTGAGATTTTATGAAATTCATTCGAAGTGTTTGAAATCCTCGGAAATCATATGAATTTCCTTGAAGTCTCTCGAAATATTTTGAAGTCCCTTGAAGACCCCTGAAATTTTTGAAATTTCGAAATCTTGAAATCTAGTGTACACGTTTATTCGGAGTGATTAGCCCTTCGCTGTTACATTAATTCTATTGGTCTTACTGATTGTGTCATTGCGATCGTTGATCGAGGTAATCATAATGAGCGAGTAGGTATTGGTAGTGAAAATGCTAAGGGGGCTATGTTATAAGCAATCACTTGGCATGTGATTCGAGTCACGACAAATCATGCCAAGTGGGTTGACTCAGAATTTTCATCGACTTGATTTTGTTATTTTCATAATCTTCATCATCTATTCGTATTCCTGAGTTTCAACTTCCAGTTGTCAGTACTTAGCAGTAGTTTTTGGTGGATTTCACAACTTTTTATGAATGGAAAAGCACCCGTTCTTGGCGATAGTTTTTTACAAAAAATTTTTTTTTGTGGTTTTGTTGAGGATCGATATGATACGCACGACGTGATGTCAAATCTCATGCTCCTTTTCGTCGAGAGTCGAGATTCGAATGGTGGCGAATAGAACCCCTTGTACGCAGCGAAGCTACGGAGAAATATCTGATAATTTTGAAGGTCCGGGATATTACAACTAATAATTCTCCAAGAGCCTGTCAATTGTTCTCCCTTATTCTGACGGATAATATGGAGAAAAGTGTCACCTAACGCCGAATACTTTTCGGCCGAAATCACAGTTGAAGATTATTACCTATAATCTTCAACTATTGACACTTCGAAACTACTTGGTAGTCCCCGATACGTTCATTCCAAACAAATAAAGGAGCTATGTTTTTCAATAAATCACGAGCGCGAAACACGAGTGATTTTGCCTGAAAAACTTAACGACTCAAATATTAACTAATACAGGTTAACTGATGACTTTTGTCATTGATTTGCCGGAGAGTTCCCTTTCTATTGGGGCTTTTGTAGTTGCTAAGCAACAAGAATTGAAAAAATTGAAAAAAAGAAGGCATCGATCGATAGGAATTGAAAAAACATTCGAGGGTTTGTTCTATCGAGAAAATATGAAGGATGGAAAATAAAAAAATTACAATGTTTCGAACAAATTTTACTGCACTTTAGGGATGGATGGACTCTTGGGGAGAGCTGGTGTGGCATTTGGGGGATTATTTGAGAGGAGTCGTAAATAATGGTCTGTTTTTTCGGGATTTTTTTGAGACCATTATCGAGAAGTTTAGCCAGGTGATTTTCTAGGACATTATCCAGGAGTTTTTCCAGGTGATTCTGCAGGACATTACCCAGGTGATTCTCCAAGACATTATCCAGGAATTTTTCCAGGTGATTCTCCAGGACATTGCCCAGGAGTTCCATGAGGATTTTTTCAAGAACATTAGCCAGGAGTTTTTCCACATGATTCTCCAGGAGTTTTTCCACGTGATCCTCCAGGACATTACCCAAGAGTCCCATCAGGATTTTTTCAAGGACATTATCCAGGAGTTTTTCCAGGTGATTCTCCAGGACATTACCCAGAAGTCCTATCAGGATTTTTCCAAGTACATTATCCAGGAGTTTTGCCAAGTACTCCTCCAGGATATCACCAAGGAGTCCTATCAGCATTTCTTCAAGGACATTGTCCAGGAGTTTTCCTAAGTACTTCTTCAGTACATCACCGGGGAGTTCCATCAGCATTTTTTCAAGAAGGACCAGGAGTTTCCCCAGGGTCTTTTCCGGGATATTTCCAAGAACATTTTCCAAGAGTTCTACCAGATGCTCCCATAAGACATCCAGCAGTCCCATTAACTTTGAAAGACTCCTGATGGTACTCCTAGGAAATGTCCTGGAGAATCACCTGGAAAAACTCCTGGATAATGTCCTTGGAAAACTCCTGACGGGACTCCTGAGAAATGTCCTGGACAATCACCTAGAAAAACTCGTGGATAATGTCCTTGAAAAAATCCTGATGGAACTCCTGGGTAATGTCCTTGGAAAACTCCTGACGGGACTCCTGGGAAATGTCCTGGAGAATCACCTGAAAAAACTTCTGGATAATGTCCTTGGAAAACTCCTGACGGGACTCCTGGGAAATGTCCAGGAGAATGACCTGGAAAGACTCCTGGATAATATCCTTGAAAAAATCCTGATGGTACTCCTGGGTCATGTCCTGGGGAATCACCTAGAAAAACTCCAGGATGATGTCCTTAAAAAAATCCCGATGGTACTCCTGAGTAATATCCTGGAGAATCACCGGGAAATACTCCAGGATAATGTCCTGGAGAATGACCTGGCGAAACTTCTGGATAATATCCTCAAAAAAATCCCAAAAAACACCATTATTTACACCATTATTTACACCGAATTTATTGAATGCAGTGTCGTGCTCCTGGAAATCAAAAACATCTTTTCTCTGTGTCACTCTTATTAAACTCCGAAGTATCGTGACTGTCGCTGGTTATGACTGGCCTTGATGGACTTTGATAATCGATTCCAGAAAATTTCACGTCCAAGAGTGAAAAAAATTTCAAGAGTCCATGACATTATAATCTGGAGTTCAACCATTTAAGAGCATTCTGGCTATCTCTTGGGATTCCTAAAAATATTTTGATTTCATAGATCTCAACAATATTCAGCAATCTAAAAAGATATCTCTGTCGTGAATTGGTAAATTAGGATAAGTGCAGGTTTTTATAAGGTATTTTTGAAAGTCGAATCGCTTCCCAACTATTGTTAGAAAGCCATTGAGCCAAAAATACCCATTTTAGAAAAAAAAATGCACTTATCAAAGGTTGCTAATTCAGGACAGATCTGGAAGGATTCCATATCTCTTTGATATTCACTGGAGATTTTGTGAATGATAACTCCATCAGGATACCAATAAACTCAGTTTTCTTAGAAGAGTAAAGAAAGAATTTTCAGTTTTATTTTTTAACTTCTAGATACAGCTATTGAAACAATCCTTTGTCACTCGTCGTAACCCATCTCCAATTGACGATCAAGGGCGAATGAAGGGAAATTCCTCCTCAGCCTCGAGAGATGAAAGGGGTTTGAATTTATGTATCGACGCACTGAGAATCTGCCGTAAAGACACCTGGGAAATGACAAATAATATCCGTGATACTCACAAAGTCATGCAGAGAAGCTTCGCCATTCTACGTGATAATATAAAACAATTAAATAGTAATA